GCAGGCATCCATTGTCAAAGGCCGAAATCCGACACAAGTTATTCAAACGAATCGGCCAGGACTCACTCTTATACAGCAGCACCGCGCACAGGCATTGTAGACCCTAACCTTTACCAATAGTGAAACGTCGCGGCGTCGCCACAGATGCCTCAAGTTGGCGAATACCGAACAGGTTTTGGCAATGCGGAGGGAAATCACTTTTCATTAACAGAAACACAGCTTCCCAGGTAAACAAAGTTGTCCACTTGTTCAAGCTGCGTTCCTTATAAGTGAGCACTGGGGCAGGTGGATGCCAATCCAGGAGCAGGAGTTTGCATTTCGTGGGCACAATGCTCCAATCGCCCAGCGGTTCGGAACGGTTTATGTGCTCTGTGCGTCATCACCAGACAAGGCAATATCAGCAGCATAATATATATCGGTCACGCGGTTTCCAGGAAGAGGTTCTACACCAGAACCCTAAAAGCTCTTGAGAGTGTTTAAAAAGACATCCTCGGTCGCAAAATTGAAGAGAAAGGGGGACATGGGGCAACCCTGTCGTACATCGCTAGTGACGGCAAAAGGTGAAGAGACCTTACCACAAGCCCTCACTTTACCTGAGACTTGCAATATAATGCTCGAAGGATGGCGATATACTTTTCGGGTACTCCATTCCTTTGTAAGCAACGTCAGAAACCTGGCCGATCGACGGAGTCCAAAGCGGCTCGGATGTCCAGAAAAACAACGATAGTGGGTTGATGGTAAAGATGACGCGTTGCAAGAAGTTGGCGGAGCGTAAACAAGTGGTCTATACACCCTCGACCGGGGCGGAAACCAGCCTGTTCTTCACGGGAGCGCAATTCTCGAACCGGGGTTAGTCTGCGGAGTAGAATGAATGTTAGCAGATTGGAAGCAACGGACATTACACTGATTCCTCGGTAGTTAGAGCATAGGAGACGAGCACCTTTCATGAAGATGGGGACGATAATTGACTCGTTCCAAGCGGATGGAACTGTTTTTTCACATCAGATCTTAGAGAACAGAGCTGTTAGCTGGTTGACAATTACTTCGCCCCCGAACATGAACAGTTCTGGAAGAAGTCCGTCTGGGCTACCGGACTTAAATCGCTTCAAGTGTCGAAGTTCAAGGCGTACCTAAGCTTCAGTGGGTGGTTCCAATGCGACGTTCCAAGGCGCGCAACTAGGTATACTCAATAGGCTCGTCGGCACAAGAAGTCAGCTGAATTGAGTGCAGAAATGTTCAGCCCAGCGGTCCATACGCCTGTGTAAGTTGCACATCGGCGTTCCGTCAACCTCACAAATGACCTCACTGACACCAGATCTTTTGTGACCAGTGGCCCGAATGACCTGGAAGAGCTTGCAAAAGTTTCCAGAGAGGGGAGCCGTTTTCATCTTTGAGGCGCGCTGGGACCACTAAGTTTCGTGATCAGCACGCAGGCTTTGCTTAAATTGCTGGCTGAGAATGCGACGCAATGCACTACTATTTGAATCGGCCGGGATAGCTCTACGACGATCAAACAATTCCAGTGCGTGTGCAGAAATCCAGCCCCTCAGAGGGCGCCTTATGATTCTGCAGATTGAAGGACTGGAAGTTAGCATCGCTTCACGCAGAAAACTCCAATGCTTTTCAATGTCTCGAGGTGAAGCACCAATGAATAGATGCAATAAGGAAGCTTGAGAAGTTGATCGAGTAGAGAAATAAGCTAATTGTTGGTGTCGAGCGTATGGAACTTTCGTTTTGAGAAGCCGCCAAAGCGCATGCAAATATCCGCGCAGATCAAAGCATGATCTGAATTGAGGTACGTAGACCAAATCGATCTACAACCCCGGACGCTGCCTCGCCATCTAAAGCTGATTGCAATGTGACCTATTTGTGACCACGCTTGCGCTGGTGGAGGACGCCACGTGGCTGCGTGTCTTCTGATATGCCTAAAGTTCGTAGTTGAGAGAGACGGTGGTCTTCGCATAACATAAGTCTATCACCGTTGTCAGAAAGACTTTCATCAAGCGCGTGATTGCCACTAAGATGACGTTCGCACGGAAGCAGGCGACCTACTCGTGCATTGAGATCTCCGGCAAGAACGATGACATCTGACTTTTCGATCTTGTTCAAAAGGCTGTGGAGACCCCGATAAAAATCATCCTTAACCGATGCACAACTGCAGTCGGTTGGAGTGTAGGCAAAAACGACAAACAAATTGCACCTCTCTTCACGATGTCTTGATTCTACATGAGCCTTGAAGCCGAACCGCAGATAGCCGGCAGCTGATTGGAAACCAGTCGAGTATTGCAGCCTCCACTTTGGCACTCAATGCGATATCAACACCAACTAAGCCGGCTGCTGATGCCCCCATGTCACGAGACAGACGTAGGTAATATGTGATCTCAAGAGCAGCTGGGGAAAACTTAACCAAGGTGGTAGGATCCTGTAATCAAGTCTCTGAAAGGCAACAAACATCGATGGCGAGAGACTCTATAGTGCACGCCAGGCCAGCTTGTTGGCCAATCTGTAGGAGGGTCCGAAAATTGAACGCTACCAGACGGAATGAAGTACAGGGTCGAAGGATAGCTGATAACCGGATGATTTGGATATCGGAGAGACGGGCATTGGAAGTAAATTCAACAGGTTGTAAATTATCAATATAAGAAAAGTTGGCGTGTGATGGACAAGCATGAGAAGCAGCGAAAGTAGCAGCAGAAGTAAGTGACGTAGTAGCAATTGCGAAATCCATAGTTTTCACAGAAGACACGATACTACCGGCTGCTCGAGCCGAAATAGGGAGTTGTTTTAGGGGACTCCACCCTGAGCCAATGGCTCAATAGCCTACCCGCAATGCAGTGGAGCGAAGTCAGGGATTCGCACCCATTGGGAGCCGATGACTGGTTAATCAGTTCATACGCCTTTTGTTTGGTAAGTAGCCAAACAGGGACCCAATCTTCCCCACGATGAGACAAATACAGTGTTCTCTTTCATTTCGTTAGTCACCCATCGATGTTGTCTGCTGTGCCGCAATCTAACTCGAACCTCTTGCGTTTGGACGGAATGAATCACTTTGGTCTTGCAGCTATCCCTATCACACACGCTTGTAATATCACTCAGTCTTCAGAGGCTATTCCAATGTAATGCAAAAGATTCCCTGTTAGCTAGCTATAAATGAACGACACCGTGGACGCTCTAGCTAGGGTAACTGATCAAGCACAGCACACAGAGCAGTCACGCGCTGCAACCGAAGCGAGCGCCAAGCAAAAATGGCGATGAGCAAGTAAAGCATTCGAACTCAGCAAGCAGTTCAACAACCACACCGGTTGCCTAAGTGTACAATTAAAGAATTTTGGTTAGAATTTTACACAAGCAAACCGGGGAATCTCCAGACTGCTACATAGCCCTCTCCCAGAAGGGACTGTGTAAGCAGTCCTTCGATCTACGTGAGGACTGTCCGTCGCGGGCCAGCCTTCTGCGAGACCAGGTTGTGAAACCCGATGCAGCTGCTGGGGGAGAACCATGCAATCGGACCCTAGCGGGCTCCCACCCGTGTCCTCCCTACGGTGTCGAAACGGTAAAAAACTGTTTGTGGGGGGGACAGTTAATAAAGTTCACGTAGGCAGTTGAGCAGGAAGATTGTTGAACTTCCAGTTGGCGTGCGGAGATCCAGCGGAAAGTGAAACCGAGGTGCAACCAACCGACGATGTATAGGTAAAGCAAAATGAAAAAGCAGCATAAATGCATAGCAATACACAAAAGAGTGTTAAGCGAAAAACGTGCAAAGCTGTTTTTGGGTTTTCAAAAAGTTTTGCTCTTTTTTGGTAGTTTCAAAACGTTTTGGTCTTTTTTTGTGGATTTTCAAAAACGTTTTGTAAGAGCAGAAAATTTCTAAGGCACGTTCTACGTAAATTAGTAAGTACTGACAAAGTCTGAAAAACGAACTGGAGGCTTGAGTTTCCTACCGCGTCGATTGAGAGTAGGGCGGGTAGGAGTGCTGTCGGTTGTGTTCGTCGGTTCTGCTGGAGCGGGCTGACTCGTCTGCGTTTGCGGTGCCGGCTGTGATGGCACGGGCTGTGAAGGTGCTTGTTGCACCGGCGAGTCAGACTTGTCAAGGTATGCTGGCTTGAGTCGATCGACGTTGACCGTCTCAGTCTTACCATTTAGTCAATGGTAAACGTTTTGTCGCTTCTACGTACGACACGGTACGGACCAGAGTAAGGAGGCTGAAGTGGTCGGCGTACGCTGTCAGTGCGAACGAACACGTGCGTGCAAGTAGTTAACCGTTCGTCCACGTTTGTACGCAAGCTCTGTGCTCTGGGTTGCACAGGCTGAAGCTGTCGCATGTGATGAGATAGGCGAGCTGCGTAGTCGCCATAGTCGAAAGTTGTTGGCGCTTTTGGTGAGACGAGTTCACCAGGTAAGCGTTGTGCGCATCCAAAGACTAGCGACGATGGAGTGGCGTGCAAGTCCGCTTTAATCGTGTTTCTTATGCCTAAGAGAACGAGCGGAAGTGCTTCGTGCCAGGATGTGCTAGATTGGGCACAGAGTGAGGCTTTGAGTTGCCGGTGGAACCTTTCTACCATCCCATTAGCTGCGGGATGGTATGCGGTGGTTCGGCTGTGTTGGCAACCAAGAACGTTGAGCAATTTTCTGAAGGATCCGTCAAAGTGCGCTCCTCTTAGAGTGAAGACAACGCTTGGGCAACCGAATTGAGCTACCCAGCGTTCGAGAAAGCTTGCGCAACTGTCTCAGATGAGCAGTTGACTATCGGAATCGCTTTGGCCAACGGGTGAATCGGTCGACACAGGTGAGTAGGTACACTTAGCCTTTGCATGGAGGCAAAGGTCCGACCAGATCGACATGGACGTGTGCAAAACGTGCGTCAGGAGCGGGAAAGACGCCAAGTGGGCTTTAGGTGAGTCTGTAGACCTTGGCGCGCAGACACTCTAATCATGCGCGTGCCCAAAGGCGGACTTCTCGATTGACTGTTGGGCCATATGAAGCGTTCCGTTACGAGCTCTGCGAAGCACGTATGCCGGGATGAGACAGGTTGTGTAAAGCATTGAAAACTAGTCGACGCATTGAGGTAGGAACTACGGGTCGGGGAGAAGTTTGTGAGACGTCACAAAGAATGGTCCCTTCAGATGAAGCTAGTGGGACTTCACGTAGTTTTAACGAGGTGTTGCGTCGTAGCTTGTCGATGTCGGGATCAGCTTGTTGGGCAGCAGCCATAGCGGCTAGATCAATGTTGGTGCCAGGCGATAAGCTGATCTGCTGAATGCGTGAAAGCGCATCCGCGACGGGATTGAGAGCACCTGAGACATGACGTACGTCTGTCGTAAACTGAGAAACGTAGTCTAGGTGTCTAGTTTCCCGCGGCGAGTACTTGTCTGTTGCGCCATTGATTGCGTAGATCAATGGCTTGTGGTCGGTGAAGACGGTGAAATGTCGACCTTCGAGGTAGTGACGGAAATGTCGGATACCTAGGTAGATAGCTAACAGTTCCCTACCGAAGGTGCTGTATCGCGATTCGGCAGGTTGTAAGCGCTTTGAGAAGAAACCTAGAGGTATCCATCGATGGTCGATGAGTTGTTGAAGAACTGCACCGACGGCAGTGTCTGATGCGTCAGTTGTCAGAGAGAGTGATGCAGACGTGTCTGGATGGGCGAGAAGCGCTATGTTGGAGATAGCGTCTTTGAGCTTCTCGAAAGACAATTTAGCGTCGTCTGTAAAGTGAAAAGACCGTTGTTTACCGCGGAGCAAGTCAGTCATTGGTTGAACAATGCTCGCGCAGTTAGGTATAAAGCGTCTGATAATAGTTGACCAGGCCAAGGAATCGGCGTAACTGCTTGAAGGAACTGGGAGCAGGATAGTCCTTCAGTGCCTGGATTTTGTCTGGCAGGGCTTCGATACCAGAGGCAGATATGCGGTGGCCAAGAAAGTCGATGGAGCTTTGGCCAAGCTCGCATTTATCGGGGTTGACGGTAACCCCATGCTGGGTTAAGCGTTGGAAGAGAGCGTCGAGGTGACGAAGATGTTCTTCATCAGAAGAGCTGGCGATAAGAATGTCATCTAGATAAGGATAAACGCCTTCGAGTCCTCGCGTTACCTCATGAATGAAACGCTGAAAAGTTTGGGCAGCGTTGCTGAGGCCGAAAGGCATTCTGAGGTACTCGAATAGGCCGAATGGCGTGATGACTGCTGTTTTAGCAATGTCATCTGGCGCGACAGGTATCTGATGATAGGCGCGAACTAAGTCGACTTTGCTGAAGATAGACTTGCCAGCTAGAGCTGAGGTCAAGTCGTGCATGTGCGGGATAGGGTATTTATCCGGGACGGTAACTTTGTTAAGTGCCCTGTAGTCACCACAAGGGCGCCAGTCACCGGATTTCTTCGGCACCATGTGTAATGGTGATGCCCATGGACTTTTGGACGGGCGGATGATTCCCAGTTCGAGCATTTGCTCGAATTCCGCCTTAGCAGCTTTGAGCTTGTCCGGGGCTAGTCGGCGAGGGCGGGCCGAAACAGGTGGGCCCTTAGTGCAAATGTGATGCATGACGTTTGACGTCACAGGAGGCAAGTCGTTCAGGACGCGAACGAGTTTAGGGTGCTTGCTGAAAAGTTCTAGAAAAGGCTGTGAAGCTTGAGGTAGGACACGAATGGGAGTGATAGCAGCCACGTTGGCGCTAGTCCCGATAACACTGAGCTGTGTCCTAGAGTCGATAAGCTTCTTCCTTTTAGCGTCGACGATGAGGTCGAAGCGTTGAAGAAAGTCTATGCCTATGATGGCGAAAGGCACAGCAGCGATTATGAAAGGCCAGCGAAAGGTTCGCCGGAGGCCTAAATTGAGCGTTAGCAGCTTTTCGCCGAAAGTTGCGATTGGTGTGCCATTGGCGGCACGCAGCTTGGTCGGCGATGGTGAGACGACCTCATCTGAGCTACGGGGTATAACGCTAACTTCGGCACCAGTGTCGACTAGAAACTCGGTGCCGGAAGTTAAATCCCTAACGCGGATGAGGCGACTTTGGTGTTGGCCAGTCGCGTCCGTCGCCGTTACGGACCGGCCGCGAAGTTTTCCCTGCTTCTCGGCGAAGTTGCAAGGCTTGACACATTTACGAGCTGCGGTACCAAAACGCTGATGGTACCAACAGCTAGCTTGCCTGTTGCTAGACTGAGAACGTTTGCAGGGCGATTTTGAGCGGCTAGGACGACGACGGGTCATAGTAAGCTGTTGCACCTGGCGACTAAGTGTCGCAACTTGTGCTTGCAGGGCTTCTATAGTTGACTGTAAGCCAGTGATAGAAGTGCCCTGGGACGCGACGGCATTGATCTTGCTGGCGTCGGCTTGTGGCTGTGATCGTTCAATAACTCGATCCGCTAAGTCTGCTAGTTGAGTGAGCGAAACGGAGCTCACTGTAGCGAGAATCGCTTGCGTGTTTTCCGGTAGCCGTTGTAGCCATAGTTCGCGAAGTAAAGTCTCGTCCATGGTTGAGGAACCAAGGAGTTGCTGCATCTCCCGTAGCAGGGTTGAGGGCAGTTTGTCGCCCAGCTGCAGATCCCTGAAAAGCTGCTGCAGGCGAACTTTCTCAGAGGGCATAACACGCTTAATCGTGGCCTCCTTGAGAGCCTCATAGCGGTTTTCGGTCTGAGAAATGATGACGTCACGAACCTGCATTGATATCTCCTTGGGGAGATAGGACAGGAGCTTGCAATACTTCGCGTAGTCGGAAGTGATTCTGTGGTTATAAAACTCAGCCTCAAGATGAGCGAACCACAAAACAGGATCCATGTCCCAAAAAGGTGGAACTGAGAGAGATACAACGCTAAGTAGAGACTCTACCTTATGGTCTACAGATTCCATGGCTTGAAAAAATGACGCAAAAAATAGGCTACCGTATGCAAAAATAAAACCGGAAAATATGAAAAATAAATGGAACGAGCTCACCAGAGAAAAGTTCCAAATATCCGGCGCTGAGGTTGATCCGGATTCGGGGTCACCAATTTAGAGGGTTGCCTATTCCGGGAGCCCAGAGAGCGATTCCAGAAGACAGATCGAGTTGCAGGGAAACTTTTATTGGTTCAGCAAAAGATTCCCTGTTAGCTAGCTATAAACGAACGACACCGTGGACGCTCTAGCTAGGTAACGGATCAAGCACAGCACACAGAGCAGTCGCTCGTTGCAACCGAAGCGAGTGCCAAGCAAAAATGGCGATGAGCAATTATAGCATTCGAACTCAGCAAGCAGTTCAACAGA